TCGATTTTGAGAAAATAAAATATTAGTATGAAACAACTATATTATTTAGTAATAATAATTACAGTTATTTCTAACCTTTTTTTCAATATTCGCCATTTCCTCGAATAATGATCAAATTGAATCACTATAAAAATAATTTCTTATTATTTTTTGGTATAATTTATTAGGTATTTAAATCTAGTATTATAATAGTAATCTATTTAGACTAAGGTATTATTGGAAAAAAAATGAAAATAGTGTCTTGCAGCGTGAGTATTGTTTTGGTCTTGCAAATCTTATCTTGGTCTTGGTCTTGTTAATGCCATCTTGGTCTGGTATTGGGGCAAGAGTCTTGGGAGACCTGAAAACCGAGACCAATTTTGATCATCACTAGCTGAACAATTTAACTATTTTATTAACATGGCCAACGACTAAATCACACAACTAAAAAACCATACATTTATAAACAATAATGTACCTGATGTTTTAAAAACAGCAAAATAGCAACCCCCATACATAAAAAAAGTCATACCTTAGCTTTCAATAACTTGCATCCAATATCATTTATCTCAAACATAACAAAATTATTTGAAAAAATCTTAAAAACAAAACTAATACTTTTCTTAAAATCGAACAATCAACTTTTTGAATATTGATTCAATTTTAGACTTAATAAAAGCATAACTATCATCACTAAACTTATCTACACTGCGGTTGAAGAAGGGAAAGAGTGTGATATAATCTATTTAGATCTGACTGAGGCCTTCGATACAATAAATCACGATAAACTTCTAAGTAAAACACAGAATATAGAAATCCTATTTTTCTTTTATTAGAATTTCTTAGTGTAAATTATTATGACACGACAATTACAGGAAAAAATAATTGTATTTTATACATTTTTTACAATAGAATAAAAAAATCCTACTTATAAAACAAAATATAGAGTGAAAAAATAAATAGTGATATTTCTAGTGAACAAATATTAAAATTCAGTGTACCACAGTAGGTGCAATTTTAACAATTTAGGTATCATTTAAACTATAAAAATAATTTATTGTATTGATCAGTATTGGTAGCACATGTAACGAAGTAATTAAACACATTGAGGTCGATCTAAAATGTATTTATAATTGACCAAGTGTTAACAGTCTATTTTTAAATTTCAATAAATAGACCATTTCACTCCACTTACTGTCTTAACTCTAATCAGACATTACCAATTATAAATTATATAAAAATCCAAGAAACTAATTGTAATACAATGGATTATTGTGATTATAATTTGGCGAGCTTGACAAAAGCTGTAGGTGCTTATAGGCATCGAAATATTCTCCAATATGAAATGGGTAAACCAGATAATATCCGTCTCAAATAAATTAAGAAAGATGATTTTCATAAAGATAGAACTATGTGAGATAAATTACCATTCAAGTACATAAGAACTATGTATTTAACTTGATTTGAGTATATCATATCTCACAGTATAATTGGGTGGGAATTAGCCTATAATACTGTTATTCTACAGCTGCAAAAATGTCAAAACATAATACTCAGGGCTGCGCATACAAAATTGGAAATATCCATCAGAAAAACGATTTGAAAACTATAGTGTCCTCAATATAGAGCTCTTATATCTAAAAACTATTACCATGTGTCCATGTATCTAAAATAAAACGCAATCAGTTGGATCATATATAAAGTATAGACCACGAGGTCACCATTTGGTTAGTAATTTTACCTTAGACTAGCCGCCGAAAAGTTTTCTATTTTCTGGGGACTCAGATATTTAACTTAATGCCCAGTGATATGATTAATATGCCGCTACCACTTTTCAAAAAAAAAAATTTCCACTGGCTCCAATATGAATATGATGCGTCTAAAACTAAATGTATGTACCATACTTCATGACACTTGTAACGTGAATCTAAAATTATTTATTATTGTTAAGAAAAATATTTTGTTTCTCTTTATATAATGTATCTATATCATTAAGAATATTTGGAAACTAAGATAACTCTGGCCTCCATTCGAATTTTTCTCAGTGAGGCCCATCAGTTATCTTTTTAATATTATTATAATAAAAAAACTAATTTAAGCATTTTTTTGAACTATCGTGATGATTTTTGTACATTTTATATTAATTTTAATTTTTAATTTTTCATAGACCCCTACTGTTTTATCGATATTTCGTTGTGTCCAGTTATTCTTGTACCTATTACACTAATACGAGAACAATTGAACACGACACTAACAAGTAACAACACAATATCAGATGCATCATACGTGTATTATACCTATATACTCTGTTCACCAAGAGAATAACTTACTTTGCACGCTTACGACTGGTACTGAGGATTGGATATTTGGGTGTTTGCAGTGGGGTACAACGCGTTTTGGTTTGCGCTCAACCACATTTATCTGTCGAACGGAGTAGCGACAGTTAAAATATAATTATTATGGACAATATCGAATACTGCAGTCATGTACCTATTTTGCCTATACTATACGCCGGACCACATTTTAAGACCAAAGTTTGTCAAACAATATTTATAATTTATATTTTATTTAACTATACTAATGACTATATATTTATATAGTAAGGGACTGTTTTCAAGAGTTAAGGGCACCAGGAAAAGCGGCTATGGCTCCCTGGGGAGTTTTAAATGCATATATTTAATATCAATATTAAACTATAACTATTATAAGTTTATGAGTAACTCTAATATCTTGCCGCGGATGAGATTTTATCCGGTGGGTACCTATGCTTGATAGTCCTACCATAGGTGACGTGTGTGCTTCACCCTACAGCAGTCTACGCGTTGTGTAGTTTCAACAAACCCGTACCTACTGACAATTTATACAATTTTACGCTGGAGCGTTTTATACACATTAATACAATGACACTTATTTCTTTTTTGTTTCATATATAGATCAATAAGTTAAAGCAAACTAATAACTAGTCATTCAGATCTGAATTGATAATTGTATGACCTTAATCTACACTGCAGGGCCGATCATACCAGAGGTATGTGTACAACATTGTACGTCGCGAAAGTTTGCCAGGGGAGCCGTTACACAGAAGAGGAATACAAATAATTATATTATTATTATTTTATTCCAAATATTAAACATTCAATTTCATTTTTTTGTGCATAGTTATTAATAATTTTAAAATTTGTTGTCTCGATATTAATCATGTATTTATAATATATGTGACGATGACTAAAAATAACTTAACATCAAAACATATTTTTTCTGTAACAGTACTAACTTGAGAGTCACCAACATTTTGCGAAGAGACGAAGAAGCCATGGAATGAAAAAGTTTAAATGCCTCTGAGTTATACAAAATTAATAACGTTGCTTTCCCGGTTTTAACGGAATAAAAAAAAATAATATCTATTTATTTTCAATATTTAAAAAAAATAATGTTTTACTCCCTTATTAGTACACAACGTCTGGCCCATTCAATAATTTACATTTTATTAAAATAGATATTGGGCCTTTTTTGTTTCGATACACAGCAATTGGAAATCTCTGCAAAACCAATCCGACAGGGTTCTGTGTTGATTTGAGACTAATCCCGGGCTTTGATTAATCGCGGTAAATGTTTTTTCAAATTACTTTTTTCTTATTGTTCTAATCAATGTTTTTCCAATAATTGTTTGTACCAAGTTTTGAAAATTATTGAGTAATAAAAATACTTTTTGAGTAACCACGTTCTCTCGGCGAACGGACTTGCGACGAGTTAAAATATAAACATGGGCAATATTGAACACTGTTATAATAGTGTAATGTACTCGTAATTCTGCGAACCTATTCATACCGGTTAGTTAACAACAGGCATTAACAGCTACTAGTGACTAGGTATATAATACATGTGGCCGTCAAACTATTGTCATCATCCTTCACGTTATGTTAAGTGTGGAGGTGACCACTCCACAGACATTTGCACCAAAAACAAAAACAATCCAGCCAAGTGCGCCCTTTGCATGGGAAAATCATACCTCCAACTACAAAGGATGTGCAATACTTAAAGCTTTTCTCAAACGTCACAAGACTCATTCAAAACACAAAATCCGAATCCAGTACTCACGTCTCTCCATTTCAAGACTCCTATCTCCCAAAGCATCTTATTCCTCCGTCGCCGATTCCAATGATATTCCGTTACTTAATAACCACACAAACGGTAGGCCATTTATTAAATTTACTTCAGAACTTTCAACATAAATTATTCCCCTCATTAAGCAGTAAGCACCTTACAGCTATTCTAAACAAATAGCTTATTTCATAGTTCGAAATTCGTTCTTAGTTCTTACCTCATTAACTAAATGTATAATATTTTTAACCATCGATTTCATTACTTGTAACTTGTACATTTTAATGGGTCTCCGATCCATATGTATTTTTATTTTTTAACACTACTTAAAACTTTCTTCGTTACTATTTTTCACTATTATTATTTCGAAATGTGTATTTAATTATCTTACGTATGTTTTATATACTTGTTGAGTCAATCATAATTTACACTAGATGCTAATAATAATAAAAAAAAAAATGCAATTTGTTTTTGGAAAAAATAAGTTCAGCAAATCTTATTTGCTCTAATGAATTAATGAAAAAACAGTCAATTAAATAACGCTCTGTTGACAAGAATACATTTTATTGTTGTATGTCTTTATAGTTTATATTTATAGATGAAATCAAACAAAAAAATAGACATGAAAAATTATATTACATTACAATTTTCATACTAGGTACATATATTCAAAAAAAAACCCTTAGGCTTGGGTGTTGATGATCAATGAACTATTTATTTTAATGTATAATTTATTATTTTATTACAGTATAAATAACTTTAGTTGTATGTGGATTTATGTTAAAACAAAAAAAATACAATAAACATTATTACCTGTATTCTAAAATTAAATGTTTGATTCACCTATTAATTAAATGTTAAATAAAGACAACACTAATAAATTATTTTTATTAAAAATATCTTCAAAACAAATTGTACAGCTATCTTTCAGTTCTGAGCTTGTAAATCTGAAAATATTAAACACAAAAATAAATAAATATTTTTTAAATCATATGATTAAATACATAAATTGTCCTTAATGAATAATTACAATTTATAATCCAATTGTCATTATAATGAACACTAAAAAGTAAATAAAAAGTTGGTCTTTTACAAAATAGAGAGTACAATTATAATTAATTTTAAAGTCTAATATATTAAATAAACATCACATTTTTTAATCAAAATCATTGGGTTTCTTAACATTTTCTTTTATGTTATTTAGAGTTTCAAATGACATAATGCTTATACAATGTATATTATCACAATTTAGACTGTAGAAGTGTTTTCTTAATGAGCTATGGTTAGGCCACACAGGCAATTTACGATTGTAAATATATTTTTAATGTAAGGGAAAACGTCAATATCAAACTGACAAAACATAATGAGAAAACCCACTAATAAAAATCATTAATATTACCTATTGGCTATTATACAGTAAAATTTAATTACACTAGTCCTACTTTAAGTTACAATTTAACTATAAGGTTTTTGGTTACAATTGTTTGTACCATGATCATACATTATTAAAGGGCTTCAATAGTTGACAGTTGTATTTCAACGTAGTCATATTTTGTTCAAGCTATTTGAGTTATGAATAACTTATGATCTACTATTAATATGTTCAAACTATCAGAAAATAAAATGCAACGCTGACTTCTGTCATTCAGAAAGTCTTTGCCAATAGATACCATCAACACAACTGTCAGCTTATAAAATTTAATACAATTATACATATAAGTCGGCATTACTATTAGTTATTACTTATTATCATCATCATAAATATTGATTGTTATTGTTACCTGGATGTAAGCTTCAGTCAGAGTGATCATCTGTGGGAGTATGTCGCTGACGTGCAAATCTTGCATCTCGTACCACTTGCTGTTCCCTTGTTTTAACACGTGTACACGATAAGTGCCCTTGTTTGGTTCCCCGTCGTGCACAATATTGGCGATCAAGTCGTAGGAAGTATTTTTATGTGCAGCTTTTACCTCGGGTGTCAGTATGTCTCCAAAGTCCACATTCCTTAAAACAAAATATTGTATATATTAGTAAAGGTAAAACTAAGGTTTGACAACCTTGGAAGTTATAGAAGTCGAAATTGAGAAAATGTGCAAATAAAAAAGTTTTATAATATCTTTTCTTAGTGCACCTTTATGTGGTGCTACAAAGATAATATGAACATTTTAAGTCTCTAGCTATCATAATTTAGTTTCTACGTTGACCAGTCATTCAGTCAGGACATTTTCGCTTATAAATATAAATTATAGATAAAAATAATCAAGAAATATAAACTTTTCCCCTAAAATTGATTAATTTGGCAATTTAAAATTTTCTTTTTAATCTCTTCAATTGTCTTTGTATGGAATAGGTTACTGGTTCAGTAAACTATAAATCAAGATAACATAGAAGTATAATATGCAACTCCTACAACTTTCCTCACCATAGTTATTCTTATTACACAACCTGTGTTTTGGCCAAAGATATACTATAACTACTAGACAACTAGCCATCTGACTTGGCTTTAATGTTAGAGTCGGTAAATTGGCCAACTTTTCTCATCAAAGGGATCCATGTTTACAATTTTGTCATTGATATAAGATCTGAATACCGATAGGTTAATCAAATGTATATATTTAATTTGGTTGTTGTCATATCACATTTAACATTTCAATGAACAAATTGTAAACACTGACCCCTTTGATTAGAAATGTCTGCTACTTTAACCACTTCAACATTACATAAAAGCCAAGTCATCTATCTGGTTGTATTATGTATCTGAGGTTTTGAGCGCACAATTTTTTTGTGGCATGGCACCTTTGTGTACTTCCTATATACTATAGTAGTTGTTTTGTATGTACTCACTTTACTGGGAAGTTGACGATAGTGGGGTTCTTCTCGACAAAAAACGTGTTCTTCGTAAAACGCTGAAACGAGTGAGCAAAACAGTGATAAATGATAAAAAAAAAACAATTTATTAAACTACAACGAGTGCCCGATCGGTAGCAATCGCATACATGTAACACAGTCATCCGAACCTTTATGTATAGGATCAAGTACGGCGGGAGTTGAGTAATCTCAAAACGTTTCATGAAGTTTTCCTTGTAAGTTTTGTATTCTTTTTCCGATTCATTGTTGAACTTGGTCAGCAGAGAATACAAACTCACCTATAAACACACGGTTCGACCAGTTACCACTTACACAACCATCAAAATTCGATGTTGTCGACAATTGGTTACACATTGATATTACATACTTGAGGTATAATGTTCTCCATGACTTCGTCTTTGAACAACGGGGGAGGCGGCAGATCGCAAGTCAAATAGAGAAATGGTGATTCGGACACGTGCTCGGCGTATTCGTCCGTGCATAGCAGACTGTACCTCTGTTTTTCGTCCAGCTCCACAGGCGGAATCTTGCGAGTCTTCACGCGCATTTTGCCCATGAACGTCTTGTACACGATACTGGAGTGACGGCTCTTCTTTCCATTCAACGCTCTGTGTAAAGAGTTCAAAAACCACGACAAAAAGTCAATCGGGTCGCCTACGCACACACACACGCACACAAGAGACGCTTCATTAGTGTTTATATCATAAAAAATGGCATTCACCGTTTCTGTCATAATTAATATTTTCGTGGTTGTAACAGTGATATAATATTACTCATACGGAATCAGTGGTGTGTTTATATGGGGGGGGGGAGGTTCATGAGTACAGAACCCACCAACAGAACCAAAAAAAGAAAATATTAGGTACCAAAGACACTGAAATATAGCATTTATTCATGATTATGAAAATTGTATAACCATAGTAAATGTGATAAATTTTTAACCTTGCTTGTAATCTTGTTAAAACAATAATATATTTCAACAGCTTTATTAAATATTTAAATATTTTTTCTTTCGTTTTGTGAATACAGATGATAGTGGGACACGCATTATTTTTATATTAAAAATATAAAGGCCTTTTATTCTCGTTATTACTGATTAAATGAAAATATAAAATTATTCTTAATAAAAAAGTCTATAGATAACATACATTTTTTCCACTTTTGAAAAATGTTGAGGAGTCCAGGCTACTTCCACCACCTAGTTCCATAACTATTGTGTAACAAGTTGTAAAAACCTGGTAAAATATTATTTTTGGGGCAAACAAATAGACCCAAAACAAAACTCGCAAAATTTGACGTAAAGGTGTCACCGTCCAACTGAACCTTCGCGATTATTCGAACATTCAATCGAAATTAATAAATCTTTCAATACATAGAATAGGTCTTTGCGTTTACCAACCCCTATCTCCAATATTTGAGAAATTAAAAAAAAGGCCTTGTTTTCGGTTTTTAAATTAATTAGTTGATAGGCGCTTAAACCAAAATAAAATACTACTGATTAATGAGTTATACTAATCGAAAATTATTGTGAATAATAATTATAGATGAAACGATTGTATTATATTAGGTATATACAGGGTCTTCCAAATTTCGGGTGACAAAAATGGTGGGGATTACACTGGTTCTTACGGGACAGATCTGTCTTTTGTCACACAAAATTTGGAACACCCTGTATATCAACACAGCCGTGCAGCGCAGCAAAACCCAGTTGGCGGTGGCGGTACTCACCCTGCTCAGTGAACTGGAACTTCTTGCCACTCCACAGGACGACTGCCTGTAACATTTCATGTGGCGACACGTGCGCCTTGAAGTTGCGCGGATTCCAAAGCTTCCGCATGAGCTCACCGAACCGCTGGACCAACAGGAATACGCTATCACCGGGCGGCCGTTTCACCTTGGCGTATTTCCTTTCATCCAGAAAGTAGTCCCGGAGTGGTGTGACGTTGGATAACGCCTGCAGGATGACGTTACAATAGTCGTTGGCCTTGATGTTGTTCAGGCCTACGATGCCAGGCATGTAAAGCGTGCCGTCAATGGCCCGCGATCGTTTGTCGCACGTGTCCAGCTGGCTGACGTGCTTCGGCGTGAAAGTCGGGTTCAGCACGTACTTGATGTCATCCAGCGAGGAATCTAAGTGCGTACAAGTGTGAATTTATATTACACATTCATTGCATACTATAAATGTCATTACATGCGCAGTACTCTGATCACGGTAGTACCTCCAATTAATATTTTCGGCAGATTACCTTGAATTCAATAAGGTTTTTTAACTGCATAAATGAGTAAATTACTATTAATTTTTAAAAAAATCGAATTTTTTTACATACTCGGCACATCGAATTTATTTTGAAATGTGCCCCTCTCCTCTATAAATTTGAATCAGATACTTGTCTTTTATATTATCTTATAAATTATAGATCGACAGTGAGTAGAAATTCGATTTATGCAGTCGTAATTATCACATTTTTTATCATAATTCTTATTATATTTATTTTTTCATTACATACGATTTTATAAAGTTTCAAGTTATTTAATATTTTGTTATGTTTACTTGGTTCTCAAATACTCCATCAGTCAATTATTAATATAAAAATAAACTTTATGAGTCCATTGTTTATAATACAATTAAAAAATATTTTTTTGCTCCACATACGTGAAAAACATTTCAAATTTCAAAAATAAGTGTATTTTTAAATCTTTTAAGTAGGAAAAATAAAATCAAATCAAATTCTAGTTCCTAAAGGTCTGCCGGCTGAAATATATATTTCTATAGTATTACCATAAATCGTAAACATACATTCACACTGTAATATAATATATATAACTATATAAGTACACCAGGAACGAGGCGACAATAAAGTATTAATATTAACTCCGTTAACGTTATGTGCACAGATGATTGTGCGGACTTGGCTGCAGAGTTCATATAGCAACGACATGGCGGGATAGTATAAACATTATAGGTTTTAAACAGCAAAAAATACATTTTCAGGCATATCATATTTTAGATATTTTTGCATTTTTTTAGGGGACTTGGTGTGAACGTTACCTAAAATATCAGATTTCAATTGGTCGACAGCGATCAGAGGCGGAGTCACCAACCACACATTCGTTTCACTCAACTCTCATGAAATGTAAATACCTAATCTCGAAAGGATGACGCCCTACAAAAAATGCTACGCTTTTATACAATATACTGACCGACTATTTCGTAGTTATCGGGCAGGCAGTAGAACTTCAGCGTTTGCAGGTTCAAAAAAACGTGGTGGCTCTCGGCGACGCTGTGAGTGTAGGCGTGGGTGTTGGTGCCGCGACCTGCAACGACAATCGATCAAAAACAAGACGAAGATAAACAACCGCAGTAGATCGTCGTCGATTGGAATGGTTCCATGAAAAAAAAAAACAAAATATATTAGTTCATGCCACGTTATTCGTTACGAACGTCAAAATAATTAGTCGATACGTTACCTTGAAAATATTTACCGCATACTAGACACGCGTAGACGTTGATCCTCGACAGCGACACGGAACACAATTTTTCGAAATCGAAATCCAACACCTGCCGGTTTATCGTGTCTAAATACGGACACAAACGGTGCACTTTTTTCATCCATTTGTCTACAACAGAAACAACGCAGTAGTATTTCGTTCAGGTTTTCGTCAAACGGATCATAAAATGCATACAAATGTCATACGATTTAAAAATATGATTGGCAAAGTATTATCCGTGTTTGATGACAGATCCTAGCCGGTTGGAGGGAGGGGGGTGTCATATCAAACAAAAATGTATTATTTTTTAATATTTATTTTATAATGACAAAAAAAGGCATACAAGGAATAAAAACTGCATTCGTTCCTAAATTGCATAAATGCAGCAGTAAGACGCAAAGTGATTATTGGCAGTTTTTTGACTGAAACAGTGAAACCCATTTATTTCAATGAACTAAGAACAATGATGCAATTAGAACTTGAATTAATTTAAAAGTTATAATCTTTTGAAATCCACGATTTGGTGCATTCTAACATACGACTTTCTATCCAGAAGTGTTTTTTGTTATTACTTTATTAACAATAACCTAAAAAGTAAGTACAATACTACGATGGATTATTTCATTGAAATGTTGAAAATAAAAATGTTCACATTTACAAAAAACATAGTTAAGACATTTTTGCTATTTTAAACTTGATTTCTATGTTAATTGACTATAAATTCATAGAAAATTCGACCAACTTTTTTTGAAAGTACAATCATAATATAAAGCATGCAAGAACGCAAATTTTGAAAAAAAAATCGTTTGGGAGCTAACTGAATCTATTTCAAAAGTTCTAATCGAGGCAGAAATTCATTCCCCTGGCTTATATAGAAAACTCATATTTTATAATCTGTTAGATGCATCATTATTCTGATTTAACAATCAACTTGATTTTTATAGGATAAACCGTAGCCACGTCATGCCTCTCTCTTACCACTGTGCATTTGGTAAAAAAATAGATTTTAACATCAATATTTAGATTCTCGATTTTGAACGAAGCAACGAATGTATCAGCTTTACAATATCTTCGTGTGTGTCACTGTCATTACCTTTTGTAGTAGTTAAAATGTTTTGTTCATCAATTTTGAGGGTGGTTTCTTGTAACAAATTAGACCTAGTCGGTATTTTTGGTACGATAAAGCGACACGTAGATGATAACAATATCTACTCAATTATTTGTTTTTTTCTTTGTCTAATTCAATACATAACCATTAACTATTCACGTCGCAAAACATCTTTAGATATACAATTCTTCCGTGCGTCTATTATGATGGAACAACTTAACAGATTGAGGTAAAAATTATATCAGCAGATTTTTTGAAACTCGGGGAGGAGTTTAGCGTCTTTTTTCAACCATAATATTTTTTTGTTTATAGTATATACTAATGAATGAATGGTAAAAGATAATAAAATAGTTATTATGATTGGATATTTAGAAATAATTTTCTGTTTAGTATTATATTTTGTCATTAAGGCTGTTACAGCTATTACACATTAGATGGAAAGTGTAAAGTTGAAGTCGATATAGGTAGTAAAATAAATTGAGAAAATGTCAACTGAAGCAAAATGGAAAAGATTGGTAAATCAAAATAAAGATATTATTTGTAGTGCTACACTGAATTACACATAATATGCAAATTCACAACTTTTGACCAATTGGCACAACATTTTGCACACACATTATTTGGGATCCCGGACCGTAAGAATAGAATCCAAAAGTAACAGCAATTATACATTAAAGGCAAAATGTATATTTATTAATAAAAAAAATACTAAATTAACAAGAAATACTTGGCAGATTTTGACGACCCGAGGAAGGTTCAGAATGAACCTGTTATTTTAGGATAGCTTATCCTCTAGATTTATAATATTAAAATTATAAAGTTTATTTTTGCTTGCAATTGGTTCAAGAAAAAGGTTAATTTTTTAAGTTATATTTCTGATTAATAAATGCAGCTAGTTTATAGAAAAATAATGATTTTATAACAACAGTTAATTTTTTTAACCATCATTATTTATGTATGGTCATTAATTTCGATATTTGATCAATAACCAGACGTCCAGACTAATCAGACTAACCATGATAAATTTATAAAAATTATTTAAAAAGTACGTTTTGAGTATACGTAGACAGCAGTTACTTGATAAAGTTACTAATTAGGTAATGATTTTAAAAGGAATTTCGAACGCAACATACAAT